ATGATAAAAGGAATACCACGACTAATAATACTGATTTCGGCCTCGAGGGCCCTCGGGCCGTCAAAAACGACTTGGGATGAAAAGCCAGTCCCTGGAGAGGGGTCTAAACCTCCGAGGATCCACGTCGCGAAAAAGACGCGACGTCGGATCGCAGCATCGGGGGTCTGGGGAGGGGGATCAGGAGGGGGGAGGGGGAGGAGGCAGGAAGTCTTTTGCTAGGGTGAGGCCTAAGTGCGCGACTGCATGCCCGTCTGACTGTAAAGGGGCGCAGACGCGCGGCAAGCTACACCGAGAGACAATTGAAACTGGGGCGAGGGGCAACTGAAACAGGGGGCGGGTCACTCCTGCTGGGGCCTAGGTCGAGAGGGCAGGAGGAGGGAGGAATAAGGAGGTTGCCGGGAGATCCCTGGACATCTCGGAGATGTTCGAGGGCTTTCGGGACTCGGGGCGCTTTCCATCAGCTGCGCCTCGTCGAATGCGTTCCGAGGATGCCGGAATCCCCCCCGACCGGCTGCCCGAAACCCGTGCTCGGGCCCGACATCCGACTGGGGTCGGGAGGGAGGGGAGGACGGAGTGGATTGCACTTCGTGTGGGGCCTGGGGGACCAGTAGAAGGCGATCCAGGACGAAACAGATGGCCCCAGGGAAGATGTCGAGAGGTTCGGATGGCACGCAGCACTGCACAACAAGTCCCAACGTCAGAGGTCTGAGGAGGAAGAGAACGGACGAGGACGAAGACCCTGACGAGGTCGAGGACGAGGCCGACGACGACAACGACAACAACGACGCGTATAGAGCGACGGGGCCAGTGGGGGGATTCTAAAAATCCTCCTGCTCTCCTCTGTTTCCCCCTTCTCATCCTCCCTCCTCAATCTCCCTCCTCCCTCCTCCCTCCTCGTATCCTCTTCTCCTCCTGCTCTCCCCTCGCCCGCCTCCCCCCCCCCCACTCTCCATCTCCTCCTGGGAGCGCGTCCGTCAGGAGATAGGTTTTATGTCTGGATCTCCGTCCCTTGACCTTCTTTGCCCTGCTCTGCGCTCTTCTGTAGCCTTTGGGCTCAAACCTGCACAGCTTTCTCTAGTTTCAGGCCTCTACGCCAGCTGGGTGTCGGCTGTCGAATACACAATCGCCAGTCATCATGATGTCTCACTGCCTGCGGGGCCCTCCAGAGCAGTTGGCGTGCACTTCGTGGTGCAGGAACTGAAGATGCCAGCCAAGAGCCGTGGATCACCCTTGCGTGATCGGCTGAGTTGCTGGTGGACGCAGCTACACACACTACTTTCTGCGCTGGCTCATCATCGTCGGAAGGACAACGGTGAAGCTCAGTAACGTCGTTATTGTGAGGCGGTGAAGCGGCACGTTGACACATGTCCAGAGCGTGTCCACACGGTCTTATTACCAGGCAAAGATTTCGAATGGCATGAGTGGCAGGAGGCTCTCTCTGATATCGGCAAGTGCTCAGTGTATAGGCTCGACGGTCTCGTGCAAAGGGCTAAACGGATCAACAGTCGTGCTCAGAGACGGGCAATTCAGCAGTCGTTGAGTGAGTTTCAGAATTTTGTGGCCGATAGGACGTCGTCAGGTCTACTGCATCGGCCTTTATGTCCCACACCACTGGTGGATTTGGAGTATGAGCATCAAGGTCAAGTCCAATGTCATCCTCGTGATATGATTGACGCCAAATCGGTTAAGTTGCACGACGAGTGTGCACCAGACCCGCTGGACGAAAGTATGGTTCGCAGAGTCTTTCAGAAGGTTGAAGATGCAGTGGACGGCGACCCGCTGCCGCCCATCAGCGTTCGCGACATCAGGGGGGCACTGAAGCAGATGAAGGCGTCCACGGGTCTAGGGGCTGACTTCTTGCCGCCAGCGGATCTTGAGCGACTTCCCAACACAGCGCTGGCAGAGCTAGCGTTACTTGTCACTGCATGCGAGTCGTGTGTGTGCGGGCCAGGCCAGTTGCTTTTGATCCTGGGGGGATGCTCCCCAAGAAAGTGCAAAGGGATCGGATCATAGGTTTAGTACCGCTCCTCGGCCGCCTCTGGTCTTTGATCAGGGAGCCGCTGGTCCGAGAGTGATCGTCGGAGACGGAAGAGTGCTGGGACGCTGCAGTTCGTGGCAACTCTAGCTTGAGAGAAGCGTACCTTCGCGCTGTGCAGGAGGAGGTCTGCGCCCACCTGAATGTACGTGTGGGCCACGGCTTAGTCGACATTGATGGCTTCTACGACTCGATCGAGTGGCCGTACTTGGCGGAGCGCTGGAGATGCAGTTCCCGCCAGTCATACTGTACATGGATCTCCTCCAGTGCGTGGCGCCGCGGGTGCCTAGCCAGCTGGGTGTCACGTCGGCCCCGTTCTAGCCAACCCGCAGCATTGTCCAAGGGCTGCGGTCGGGCACTCGATTCGGCCGAACGCTCACCCATTTTGTTCTGAAGCGTGTTGTGGAGTGCCATCCGATGGCGAGCCATCGTGTCTGGATCGACGACATCTCCCAACAGGTCCGTGGGTCACGTGCGCATGTCCGTCGTAGCCTGAAGGCTTGCATCTTTGACACTTGCAGGTCCCTGGAGGCCAGCGAGCGTCGTGTGTCCCCGAAGTCGGTGGTCATGTGCACGGATGTGGCCGATGCTCGCTGGGTGGCCCGTGCTGTTCGTCAGGCGGGGTATCACATCACGGCCCAGTCGCAGGCGAGCTTTCCCGGGGTGGACCTTAGTTGCGGGGCTCGAGCTGCTCGGGCTACCCGCATCAAGAGGGACACCACGCACAAGGTTATGAGCTTGACGATCGGGAGGTTCGCCAAGGCGGCTCGCAGATATAAGACCACGAGTCGCCTCGAGTTGCAGGGTGCTCAATCTGCAAGTATCTACGACGTCCAGGTGCACGGGACCTTCGGCCAGAGGCTGGTGCAGGCGCGACGGCGTCTGGGGCTTGCGTGCGCGGCGCCAACGTGGGGCAGGGGTTTGACTACACTTTTGGCGCTCCGAGCGCCGCAGCAGGATCCAGGCGTCAAGCTTCCCACGCAGTGCCTCGACATGTACCTTCCCATCTGGCGAGACCACCCTGATGTGCGGTTAGGAGTTTCACGTATTTGGCGGTCGGTGGTTGAGCAGCTACAAGGAGTTCCAGAATGGCATCGCACTAAGTATGTGCGACGCCCTGTGTATGCAGTGATTTAACATCTTATTGAATCGGGATGGTTGGCTCCTTCTGCAACAGGGTGGGGCATTCCTGAACCCCACGAGTTTGCAGGCGACGAGTGGAGGTTTGATGATTCAATGTGCACTGGAGTTCGCGCCTTGGACAGCCATGCAAGATTTCTCAAGGATTTCTCCTACGTATTGCAGCGACGGTATTGGCAGCAGGCCAATCAACACTACTGTGGCGAGGGCCTGCAGGACTGTGCAGATGTCGACTCATACCGTGTTTTGATTCAGCACCTGCACGACGTCCCCCAGATCGGCCATCGCCTCAACGAGGTCGTGCTGTCGGTAGCAGTAGGTAGTGCATGGCCCAGGGCACAGAAGAAGGCTGAGATCCCGCGCTTTTGTGGCACTGATAAGTGCTCCCGTTGCCAGCTTGAGCCTGAGACGCTCGTGCATCGCAGCTGGACGTGCAGTCATGATACAAATAGGGAGGCCTGCAGCATGACGGACGATCTAGTGCATCAAGCCACGGTGCAGGCGGAGGCAGAGCCAGCGCTTTGGCTACGGGGACTGCTGCCCTCTCCATGGGTGGCCGTCCCGCCTCCTGCCCGCGATGAGGCTTGGGTTGTGGCAGGTCCTTTTGATTTGGGTCCTGGGTGCCTAGGTCACGGCACTGCCCAGGCACCCCTGCTGCTCTTTGGCGACGCTAATGGTGGCCCCGACACTGCCATCACTAAGTTCCGTCGTGTAGGCTGCGCTGTCGCTCTATCTCATTCATTGGAGCCAGTTGTCTCAATTGCAGGGTCCATCAGCGGCCCCCTCAGTGGCGATCGCCAAGCAGTGCCTCGAGGGGAGCTACGGGGTTTTGTGCTCGCAGTCTGGGCTTCTAGTGGTTACGTCACATATGTGGCCGACTGCGAACCAGTAGTCAAGGGATGGTATGCCAGGCGCTTTGAAGTTCCGAGCGGCCCTGATGCTGAGTTGTGGGCCCAGCTCGGACTGCTCATGGAGCGTCGAGACATCAATACCGTCTCTGTGATTTTCGTGCATTCTCACCTCGGCGCTGCTGATATTCATGCTGACACCGCCCCGAGATGGGCCGTCGCTGGCAATTCAATCGTTGATGTCATTGCGGGAGCTGCGGCCAGCGCAGCTCGTTTGCCAGTGGCCCACGGGCAGAGGGTTCTTCTTCACGAGCGACGGGCGAGGTTGGTCCGTCTGCGCCTCTTGAGGGCGACCATCGACGCTATGGAGGCTGATGCAGCCCCTGGTGCGCAGGAAAAAGCATCATCCTTCCCCGTCCCTCGTCCTCCCTCTGCTGCTGCTGCTCTCTCCCTCTTCTCTACCTCCCACCGTCTCGATGAGAGTGGGAGGAGGTGCACTTGTTGCGGAGGGTCGGCCAGCAGGGCTGCTGCAACCAAGTGGCGCCAGACCGAGTGTTTCCAGCCTATCAATTATAACGGTACCATCCTTTATAAACCCCCCTGGCACGTCTGCACATCGCAGGGGGGGTGGACCAATCTCATGGCATGCAATATCATATACATCTTAATTTTTGGTAGTGTAAACTGTGCGGGTGCTTTGCCTCTGAGGTCTTGCGTGAACTTGGCAAGGTCTGCACCCAGCGTGTCACCACACAGCGACCTGTATATCTCGATAGGGTCTCGCGTGGCTTGTGGCCTAAGGTTTTAAGTGCACGTGGGAAGCAGAGCCGTGGTCTTCTATAGTCATGCCTTCATGTGAAATTCGTCACGTAATGTTGGCACGTTTGACTCTGCCACATGGTCATACTCATAATCATACTCATACTCCTCCTCCTTCTCCTCCTCCTCCTCCTCCTCCTCCTCGGTGACATGCGGGC